TAAGATGCCATTGCTGCACCACTGAAACGAATAGCCAGGTGCAGTGCTTTGTAAAATGAATCATGTGGTGCAGGCAAATCGAACAAAGCCTTAAGCATACAAGCGTCTTAGCATTTCACCCCCGTCGAAATGTGGCAACTGTGGCTGGGATCAAACCTGTGTTGTTCAGCTCAGCAGTGCCACACAACCTAACTATTAGTGTAACAGTTTCAACGTTATTGAAGGTAGATTCCATGCCATGGTAGACAGCCAATACTTGTGGGCAATCTAAAGCACTCCTACACGATATGCGTGGTAAAGCATTCACAAATAAAGCATTCCATGTGTGAGGTTCGATATGACCTGCTTTAGTGGATGTTCACACGTTTCAACGTGCTTGCAGAGCGGACAGTCAGAGGTAGTCATCCTGCAGTCATGTCAGTCTGGAAAAACAAGCAACATCACAAGATATCAATGCAAGAAATCAAATCATTATCACTGCATAAAATTTTTCAAAGTAAACAAGCAAACCCATCAACTAGTAAGCAGCACTATTTTATACATATATGTAATAGTACCTAATAACACGTGTATCACTCGGGGCTTCTTCTTCACAAGACATGTCATGTAGCAGGTTTCTTGCCCGTTGTACACAGATGCTTCCATGTCAGGCGGGCCAGGAGGCTGTGGCAGAAAAAGAAGTATTTCTGATTTATGTGACGCTTTCTTTGTCACACTATAGCAAATCCACACCCATAATTATGTGATGTTTTTCAAATGCGACTGTGGTAAACTATTGACTTGTAGGTTTTTTGCACTTATATATGGGCTAGATACAAAGTCAAGTGCGAGGCGACAGTGATGTACTTGCTTTCTTTCATCGGAACGGCTTGGTTTGTGCTGCCTGGCGATACCATTTCAGAATTACCTAATGAGTCAGTGACTCGTTCCCACGTGAAGCCACGCCTCAAGTAACGCACGTTTTTTTTCCGGTGACAGATTGACCCGTTAAAAATTTTTAAAATTTATTATTGCAATGCACTGTCGCCGTGCGACGCCTACGCAGTCATAGGCAAAAAAACTACATATGTTGAAATTAATGAACTAGCCCAGCAAGCAACCATCCATAAAAAACTGAGGTGGTTTCTACTTACCAGGCCTTAATTCTCGGGCTTGCAACGGGTGTTCATCCCATGCAAGCTCCAAAGGTCACTTCGTTCCCCGGAAGTCACTTGAAATCCCTTTGAGTAAGCATTTGAATGAGTCAAAATAAACAGAACGAAAAAAAGTGTGTTGGTCAGCAGTGGCTCAAAATATTTACAGAGAAACGAAACAGTGCGAGACACAACCGAATATACCGCGAGCCGTTACCTGCCGTCGCTACCGCAGGCCACCGTATATATTGAAATGAGCATAATGATGACGATAGGCTGCAGCTGGCTACGAGTAATCTGGAGCAAAAAATATGACAAAAATTGCTTGCGCAGCACATGTTTTCAAACATGTGTTAGCTATAAGAAAAAGTTGTTTTTTATGTGTAGCGGTACGTAAAGATGTAGTATTTGATCTTTTTAAAATTGATTCTTGGCCCCGACCAGGACACCGCTACATGAAAGTCAATGGCGCGAGTGGTGAGAGAGGTTGGTATATCCACTATGGGTGTTTGAAGCAGAAACGCGCCGCGGTTGATTTTTTTCGCCCCCTACAGGGGATCACTTGAACTTGAGAGTTTCCGGAGCCTGGTCGGGCTATGTCAACGTCCGGCGTTGTCTGCGCGCCGGTATATATTATCACTTCGCTCTCACTCCATCTTCAATACTAACAGCTGCAGGCTTGGGCTTATCCTCACCCCTAGCAACTGGAGCGTGGGTTGCGAGAGAGTGTAAAAAAGAGTAGGTGCACTGCTTTGTCGCCTCTTCTCTCATCATTCGCTCTTTCTCTTCCCTCCACCCACCTCTGCCGTCCTCTCGCACCTCACTCTCGACCGTTCGCTGGCTGGGCGTGTTTCAAGGCCATCCGTAAATGTGTGCTCGAGACGCCACTCTCAGACAACCAAGGCCAAGCCGAGAACGCTAGCGCTCCATTCTCTCACCCGCTCACTCCTCACTGTCGATTATTCACTGGCCGGGTGCCTCTCAAGGCGATGCCAGAAATCAGTGATGCGAATGTCTGACCTTCTCTCGGTACACGAAATGCATTCGCACTTCCTCAAAATTCCTTTTGAGGAAGTGGGGACGTTTTTTTTTCTTTTTGCGAAGGCGACTCGGGGTGGCTGAGAGGGCCCATTCAGGTGCGAAAACACCGGATGAACCGCGATGCTGTTCAGTCGCACACGCTTGATCGTCAATCCCAGCAACGTTCTCACAGATTTGAAGTCTTTTTTTAACTACAGCAGCTCGTTTTCAAGCCATCTTCTGATACAGATGAAGTTTGTGAAGCACAACCTGATCGCGACTGAAAGTGATGCCACAGTAATATGCCGCGCAGTAATTCCACATGGCGAGTCCAATTTCGGCCTCGCACAAAAACTAGTGAATGTCGAATGGCGCAAATCTCTTATCGGGAGAAAAGAACGGTGCAATGACAAACAATTTCTACGAACTGGCACTACTGATGCTTTGCTAGGCAGGAGGTTGCACCAGAAACAAGACACAATTCTGAAGTAAACAAGCTGAGCTGGCTAAGTGACGTGGGCGGCTCGGTGGCTTGCTCCTTCGATGACGTCACCTCCCCACGTGTCTGTCTTCCCCACGCTCCTCCCCTGCACTCCGTCCGCACAGGGGGGGGGGGTCCCTCGCTCAAAGTATGCTCGTTTAGAGGTGCAATCTAAAATTGCAAAAAAGACCGTGGTTGTGATGTTGTAAGAGGGCGCAGATATTGATTCGCAATAAAAAATTGGTAGATACCACGTACAGTGAGAATTCATGATATGCGAAGCGCGGATGAGGAAGGTTGACATGTCACTTTAAGTTCGGCACAATGTTACGAGACGGCTGGAAATAATTATACCGTACAAGACTTCCATGTCATGATTAACATGTTTGGACGTGTCATTTCCCTTGGCCATAATTCATGTCACGTCATACTAAACTTGGTATATGTGAAGCTAGCAAAACGGCCGCGAGCATGCTATGAGCGACACATGTAGTCATGTTTCACATCGCACTCAAGCCATGATTATTATGTTTGGACGTGTCATTCAGCTTCGTCGTCTATTTATGTCCCATGATGCCAAATTTGGTATTTGTTGGGCTAGCAAAACGACCATGAGTGCGCTGTGAGCGTAGCATGTAGTCATATTTTAATGACACACATGCCATAATTATCATGTTTGGACATGTCATTTACGTTCATCGTTCGTTCACGGCACCTAACACCAAGTTCACTACATGTGAAGCTATCGAAACCGCCACAAGCGCATAATGAACGTGGCATCTAGGCATGTTGTTGCATGACACGAATCTCATGATTATCATATTTGCAGCAGCCACTTACCTTCGTCATGCATTCACATTCCTTAATACCTAATCTGGTAAATGTGAAGCTATTGAAACGGTCGTGAGCGCATCATGAGTGTGGCATGCACTCATGTTCCTACATGACACTCATCTCATGATTATCATGTTTGCACCAGTCAAATACCTTGGTCATCCATTCACGTGACGTAATAACAAATTTGGTATATGCGAAGCTGGTGAAACGGCCGTGAGCGCGTCATGATTGTGGCGTGTAGTAACGTTATTACATGACATGCATCTCAAGGTTATCATTTTTCACCAGTCTTATATCTTCGTCATCCATTCATGGCCCATAATACCAAATTTCGTAGATGCAAAGCTAGCGAAACGACCGCGAGCGCACCATGAGCGCGGTATGGAGCCGTGCCACGCGTATGACATGCGTGCCACGATTTTAAACAAGGGTCTGTCATTGGCATATGCCATGCAGTCAGTCATAGCATACCAATTTTGCAACATTTCATGTGAACAAAACGACCGCAAAAGCAACAAGACCATGAAATGCAAGTCATGACATTGATGACATACATGTCATGATTTTCATGTTAAGACTAGTCACTTGTGCACAATATACAGCATGTTATGGCACACTGATTTAGGTATCGATACCATTGTCGAAACGGTCATAAGAGCTAAACATCGCAGGAGGCTGGATAGATAGACAGATAAATAGAAAGATAGATAGAAAGATGGATGGATAGATAGATAGATAGATAGATAGATAGATAGATAGATAGATAGATAGCTAGATAGATAGATAGATAGATAGATAGATAACAGACAGAAAGATAGATAGATAGATAGATAGATAGATAGATAGATAGATAGATAGATAGATAGATAGATAGATAGATAGATAGATAGATAGATAGATAGATAGATAGATAGATAGATAGATAGATAGATAGATAGATAGATAGATAGATAGAAACACTCCAAATCACCAACGTTCGCTAAGGAGTGCTTCGCTTTTAATTAGCGAGTGCCAAACCACTTCAGTGTTTCTTTAAAGGCATGAGCGCAAAACGTGTGTGCGTTATGTAAGAGGGTGACTGGTTTAAACCATGAAGTCATTATGACTATCATGTGCTCATACGCCCAATGGCAATATACGCTTGAAACACGCATTATTACCATAATATTTCATTCTGTATTGTGATGCATGTATACAGGACCCGAGTGTTTGCAAAACTGGAAGGTTACTTCCAGCTTTGCACAAGCAGATGCCTGGCTGTGTATGGTAGAACACCTGCTTGCCACGCAAACTAATTTGAACGACCCGGGTTCAGACCCAAAGGAGCCAGTGTTGATCCACAACGGGGCCCAGAGTTTTCTTCTTATTTACTTATTTGCATCCTTGATTTTTGTGGTCACGCACAAGGCAATGGTTCTTGGCTCACAACCAACAACGTGAACACCGGATTTACTGCGAAATGAGCTCTCTAACGCTATCACAATAATAAACACAATTTAAGGTCTGCTACTATGGGTTCGGTAGCTTACCTGGCCAGGAAAAAGGCTGCATAAACGGGTCCCCTTTTGTATCATTTCCCAGTATCCCGGTAACCTCTCTACTGAACCTGCAATAAACAAAAGATTATGTTTTACGAATAAGTTCAATCAATTGAGGTGGAACTACTGTTACGTAACAAACATTACCGTGCGGCCGTTTCTAGCGCAAAGCTAGGATAAATAAACAGTCCCTCAATAGCTTTTCTCCTCATGAAACTGTCGTTTCAGTTGTATTTCATTTCATTTATTTACTCTCAAGGCACTGGGCATTACAGAGAGGAGTGGGACAACAAATATCAATAAGAAGTAAAACAAAACAGCAGGATTAGAATAAATTATAATGCAATTTAAAAAATGATTGATTTGAACGCGTTGGCGTCTCTGATTCAAGCGATCGATGCGAGAAGGTGGTTCCAGTCAGTTCATGTTCTAGGGATGAAAGAGTTGAAGTGCTGGTTCGTATGGCAGAAGGGAACCTTGACCTTGTATCGATGGTCATTGCGTGCTAATATGTAGGCTGGTGGAAAAAACAGTGAACCAGAGAGGGTTCTGTTAGTGTGATAGATCTTTTGAAAGAGACAGAGACTTGAATTTTCACGTCGTATTGAGAGGTTATACAAATTTAGTTGAGCCTTCATTATTGTGACACTTGCAGTTCGAGAGTAATTGGACAATATGAAACGAGCTGAGCGATTCTGAATGGATTAAATGTTGTCTATGAGCATGTGAATATGAAGATGCAGGTAGACGACGCATACTCGAGTTTTGGCCGCACCAATGATTTATACAGGAGGAGCTTTAGGTTAATTATAGCAAGAGAAAAATTTCGACGTAAATAGCCAAGCGTTCAATTAGCGTTGCATGTTATGTAGTCAACGTGAGCCTGCCGTGACAGGTTGTTAGAAATGTTAACACCGAGGTACTTGTAAGAAGAAACGTTGTTTAGGGGAGTATTATTAAGTAGGTACGAGGGGGACGCAACTTTTGAAGGGTTATGAGCTATCCTCATTGATTTGCATTTATTTGTGTCAAGTTTCATTAGCCAATTATTACACCACGAAGAAATATTGTCTAGGTCAGATTGCAGGGTGTCAGTGTCGTTAGAGGTCAAAAGTTCACGGTAAATAACACAAGCGTCAGCAAATAACCTAATGGAGGAGGAAATGTTATGAGGCAACTCATTAATATATATTAAAAAAGTAAGGGACCCAAAACAGAGCCTTGAGGCACACCCGAGGTTACGGCAGTAGGAGGAGAGTTGCATTCATTAGCAGTCACAAATTTCTCACGGTTACGTAAGAAGCACTCGATACATTTCAAGATGTGCGGGTTAAGATTTAGTTTACATAATTTTAAAAGCAGTAATTTGTGACAAACTGTGTCAAATGCTTAGAAAAGCCGATAAATACACAATCAATAAACGTACCACGATATATAGCACAGAACAAATCATTAGTAAAGCATAAGAGCTGAGTTTCACACGAGTAACTTTTTCTAAAACCATGTTGAAATTTAGTAAAAAAGAATTATTCTCAAGAAAGTTGACTAACTTGCAGTAAATGATATGTTCTAATAGCTTACATGGCACACTAGTTAGTGAGATGGGTCTTTAATTGTGGGGATCGTTGGTGTTACCTGACTTGCAAAGAGGAACCACCTTCCGCACTTTCCAGTCGTTTGGCAGGGTACTGGATTCCAAAGACTGAAAAAATTCTGCACAGTATTAAGGACGAAAACAATGCGGTGTTTTTGAGAAACTTGGCGTTAATTCCGTCATCTCCGGGGGAAGAAGAAGGCTTGAGATTTTCAATTAATTTCCTTATGCCCTCCCAATCAAGGTGTACTGGCGCTATTAGATCGTAGTTTTGAGTAGATAAGTTAGAAACAGTGGTAGGCACCACCTTTACAAATGATGCGAATACACTGTTAAGAGCTAGGCAACAATTTTCTCTTGTAATAAATGAATCGCTCCCTGAAACTAGGTCAATTTGTTTTTTATTTCCACCAATTACCTGCCAAAATCTACGAGGGTTAGTTATTAACAAAGAAGGCCACCTTTGTTCAAAATATGAGCGCATGGCAAGTGAGAGTGCGCGAGCGTACTCGTCGGCTATACTACGATAATCATCCCATCTTTTGATGTTGCCCGAGAGCTTTGCACTTCGAAAGATGCGCTTCTTTTTATTAGGTAGGCACCTTAAAGTAGGCGTGAACCAAGCAGACCGATTGTTATCGGTTATTTGACGGCGCGGTATGAAGCGGTTGGTAAGTTCTTTGATTTCAGCTCTAAAACGTAGCCAGTTTTCGTTTACCGAGTGTCCAGAAAAGCTAGAAAAAAAATCCTGTGTAAATGTTTCAAGTTCAGCATTTATTAACGTGTAGTCAGCTCTCCCGTACTCTCTGATTATTTTTGTACTTTTACTAATTTTTGACGGCGTGTCCGGTACGAGAAAGTGAATGGCAGGGTGATCGCTGAGACCTGGCACGACTGACAGAAACTGGACGAGATCAGGGTTATTTGTGAACACCAGGTTTAATATGGTAGAACTAGTAGACGTGATACGGGTTGGGGAGTTAACCAACTGGCTAAGGTTAAACTCTAAGCATGTATTAATAAAAGAGGTGAAGTCGGAATTACTGGAGCCAGGTAAGGTACAAGGCAAATTCTAATGGATGTCGGGGAAATTAAAATCGCCTAAAAGAATAATATGCGAGGTGGGAAACCAAACATGAAGCATGTTAAGGGCATCGTACAAATCTGAAGAAAAACCAGCAGGTTTGTTAGGAGGCCGATAGCGCGCACAAACGAGAGCATCTTTATTGTGTAGGCGAACACTAACGCACACTAATTCTAGAGGGCAAACGAGAGCTACGTGCGATGAAACCAGATCGTCTGCAACATCTATGAGGACACCGCCTCCGGAACACGATCCACGATCGCATCCATAAAACGTATTTTTTTCACAATTTAGAATTTAGGAGCTGTCTACTTCCACAGAAAGCCATGTCCCTGTTAATACGACGACGTCTGCAAGACAGGTGTCAATCAGAGATGACAGGGCGTCTTGCTTGCCCATTACACTTCTCACATTACTAAGCAGAAAGGAACAATTGTTTTTGACAGTACCACGTCGTTGATTTGTTTTTTCTACGAAGACGCTTGCGCCGACGAGCTAGGATGACTTAGGTTAGTGTCGTTTCTGCTGTTATCGTCAACTGGAACAACAGACAAGACATGACCAGTGACTGGGAAGTATACATAACTTTTCTGGTTAATAACAACCTTGTTGTATTTTGCTGAATACCTTTTGACCACTGGTTTTAGTTTTTTCCTGGCTGTCCGTGTGGCTTTACAGAAATCTTCGTTAATGTTAATGTTCGTACCGCGCAACTTTGCTTTTTGGGAGAAGATGTTATCTCTAACTTTGAATGACGCAAACCGTACGGCAACAGGGCGGCACTTTATTGTTACAATCGCTCCTAGTCTGTGGGCTCGAGATATCGCGTCACCTGAAAGCTGCATCTCGAAAGAACTTGAAAGAATTGCCCTAACCTTTGCTTCTGTGTCTGACCATGTTTCGGCTGCAGCATCAGTAATTCCATGAAAGATTAAGTTGTCTCGTCGCGATCGGTCTTCGTAATCGTCAAGTCATGCGCGAAGAGCAGCATTCTCATTACGAACCGCTGACGCAATCCAAACAGAACAATCTGAACGCGATCCCTCGGATACGTTTTCCAAAGCGTTCATCTTTTCTTCAAGATTTGCTAATTGTGTTGTAAGGTCGAACACTTTGTTATCAAGAGCCTTTTGGTTATTTTTGACTATATATATGGCAGCGGTTGGTAGGGGTGCGACAGTAAAAGGAATATAACCCAGCGGAGCGGCCACCGTAGGGTGTGCTTTCATTTTTTCGTCGTTTGAACATCGCGGTCAAAAGCTCGCTCTCTTCAGACAATATTTCCATTCTATTTTGTTTTAGGAATTATACAATCTTAAGATGGAACTGAGAATTTTTTTTACTGTAGATAAGGCAAATTCTGCTGGCACCTCAATATGTCAGCAAACAACGTGCCTACGCTTTCTGTAACTAAGAAATTGGTCTTTATTTGCCTCAACAGACCTCGAATAAAAAATGGTGAGGGTGGAGGGCACTGATGGGAACGATGAGAAACTCGGGAGCACGCGCTCACAAGGGGACAGCGTTGAGTGGAGCCCGGACTGTATATGAGGGCTTCACCGGTCCTTGGCCCTGAGTCCACATCTATCTCCCGTAACGTGAGACCAGCTGATATTGCTTGGAGATGAACGAACTGTGGTCTACTTGTGGTAAAGCTACGTTTCCTTTACATGTCTCTTTAGTTTTTTTTTTCTTGTTAGAGGTTGTGGTGTGTTTATAATCTTGTTTGCGGTCTAGTTTTCCGTGAGTACTTGGTGGTCCGTTTGCTGGTTGGCTTTCCTTCGCCGTTTTCTGTTTCTCAATATTCTATCAACACCCGATCAGGTTAGCGAGCAGTCTCGAGGACTGATGAGGCCGACTCTGGAGCCGAGGACGACAAGACAGCTGGGGCCACGATGAAAACTGGCTTTCAGGAGCCATCACTAGGCAAGACGAATCGGTCGTGTTCAGATTCATAACGGCTTTTCCCGAGACCTTCACGGCTAGACTCTTAGACTAAATTTTTTTCACGTGCGCCGCTCTCCAACGCACGCGGCTGACGGTACAGCCAACGATGGACGTGTGAACGCTTACCAGGTACGCCGCTGGTAAATCAGTCCTTAATTTTGTACACGAAATTTACACTTACTGGACCATTCCTGGCCTCTAGGAGCTCTATGTGCTCGAGCGGGTTCTTCCCGCTGTCCTGAATACCATCTCGGAGCAATGGCGACGTCTCCAGCCTCTGTTTCAGTCTTGGAAACAGCTCGTCACGGCTTCATAAAAGGAGCGCCTGCCGATTTAGTACAAATACCGTATCCTACATCACCTGGATGCTCGAACGCAGCGTACAGACGAGGGTCTACGTAAAGTTTTTCGGGCCCTGAACTAGCTATTCCGTCTAGCTGATC